TGCCACCCTCTGAAGTGTCTCCCCTCACACCGCCGCCGCCGCCACCACCCACACCCAAGTCCCCCCTCACGGCCCTGGGCACCTGCTTCCCCAAGGCCGAAACGGTCAGTCAGGACCTACCGCCCACCCCGGCGCCATCGCGACGCCGCCCGTCGCCAAGGCGAGGGGAGCCCCCGCCCCGCCCCTCGGCGCGTTCCGAGGGGCAGCGGCGCCCTCTGGCGGCGAGTGCCGCCGGGGAAAAGCCCGCCAAAAGCGCCGCGCCGTCCCTCAGCGGGAGAGCGCCCCGCAGGGCGGGGGTGAGGCCGCCATCGCTGGGGGGGGGAAGGATGAGGCGACACGCTCCCGAGCCTCTGCTGTTGGAAGAGTCAGGTGCAGTGGCAGTGTGTTTGCTTCGTGATTCCTGTACGGGAAATGGGAAAAGCGAACGTTAACAACAGCGCAGGGGGAATTTTAAGTCCCGAGAGGGATTTCCGTGCGGCGAAGGTCAGGGGCTGCCCAGAGTTTCGCCCAAATGGATACCTACGGCGGCAGCCTTAAAACCGTGAAGTAAAGTTGCAGCTGTCTTCAAGAAAAAGAGCGTTTCCAAGCCTGGCAGTGGTAGCTGCTGTTCCACACGAACGTGAGCTGGGCCCACCACGACGGCTTTCTCAGGAGCGGGCCCCTGAGCCGTCCAAGGCACTGAGACGGAGCAAGCTCCGCCGCCCTAGTAACCGCAGCCATACACTACGTACTGCCGGCAACCCTCTTTGCCCCACACACCAGCGTCGTGCAAACAGCCGTGCCCCAGCAGTGGGGACAGGGCGTAAGAAGATGGAAAGGAGAGCTGGAGGCTGATCCTGAACTGCTTCTGCTTCTCTCTTGATGGCCAGCGGACCTCCATGGGTTTTGGATGGGCTCTGTATGTCGTTCTCCTCCATAGGACATCAGTGCCTGAGCCACATAACCCTGGGAGCCATACTCTACCACAGAAATAAATTGTGAATCACTATATTAAATGCTTTTGTCCTCATTCTTGGGTGAAATTCACATTTACCCTCTTATTTCAGAGTTTTTGGCCAGTCCTGTGGGAGCTTATGTTATCCTATAACAAGTCCTGTTTGACATACTACAGCAGTCTCTGTAATTAAGGCATAGTCATTAAAGCAAGGACAAAACACTTTTAGCCCCATAGGCAGAGATCATAATTTGCAATGCATCTATACTGAAGACAATAGGAAGATGCTCTTTTTGCTCATTCAGTGGCCCCACATATCTGTTCAGATAAGAAAGCAAAAAAAAAAAAAGGAAATAAAAAAAACCCCAAATCATTAAAAACTAGTGACTTCTAATTTCCTTCTCCTATATTGTGGATTGATACTATTAGGACACAGTAGCCAGCTGACACATAAGCCAGGCACTGAATAGAAGGCAAGGAAAAAGAAAGAACAGCATCTTAAGTCAGCTGGCAAAGATAAACACAGCCTTCAACTTTGTACTCTGTAGCGCAAGATCTTTAACTTGGACATATTTAAATACCACTATGTCAAAAAGTAACAGTGCTTAAACCTGACTGTGGGCAACCTTTGCCTTTTTCTATTCGCGTGGGTAGACAATACTTACATCTTTTAGAAAGTCTTGTCTTAGATCCAGAAAGAGAAAATATTATGATTAAGTTTGAGTCCCTATTTTGCAGGTTAACAGTGTTGCCAGGATCAGGCAGTGCTTTCAACTCTTTGACCCTCTCTCACCAAGCTTGAACACAGGTGCCAGGAAGATCTGCTCCATAATCCTCCTGGAGCCCGAGATTAGGCTGACTGTTCTGCAGTTCCCTGGATCCTTCTTCTTGCCCTTGATAATGGGTGCGACATTTGCCTTTTAATGGTCATCAAGAACCAATACATACAATATATGCTTTTTAAGACTTACTTTTTAAAGATGTAAAGAAATGCCTTATGTTGGTAAGATGGCAGAGGATTTGCCTCTCCCATGTGACACAACCCAGCTAGGAGGTCAGTAGTACCCCCATACACACACATGCTTGCAGAATAGAGAGCCACTCACCTCCACCCCAGACCCCAGCCC